GATTTCATCCCACATGAGACAAACCTTCAGCCACTTTCAGCTGATTTAATCACACATGAGACAAACCTTCAGCCACTTTAAGCTGATTTAATCACACATGAGACAAACCTTCAGCCACTTTCAGCTGATTTCATCACACTGGCTGACAGACAACAAGCTGAAGGTTTGAAACGCCACACATCATATTTTTTATCTGTCCAGTTGGACAGTTTGTCTTCATAAAACGTCTCCGGGTTTGATGCTCGGTGAGTGTAATGATAAAACCTGATGGTGGGTCCAGACTCAGGTTTGGACCCCGGACCTCCTGAGACTCAGGATCTGGACCCTGAACTTCATGAGACTCTGTCTCACTGCAGAGTCTGGTTTTTATGAATTCTGTTTGAAGTGTTTCTACGGAGGCCCCTGGTCTCTGGTGCTGAGACATTGTGTCTTTGTCCCTGTTTTAAAGGACATGTCTTGAACAGTTTTTGACGTGTCCTCTCGTTCAGGTCTGATGGATGGGAAGCACTGCACGCTGCCCCACCTGACGGGGAAGACGTTTGTCTATAACGGCGCAGAGGACCGCGTGGAGCTCTGCGTGGACACCGCAGGCCACTTCCCCGTGGGTCCGGATGTGGAGGAGCTGGTGAAGGAGGCGGCGGTCCGCTTGGAGGCGTCGTCCCGGGGCAGCAGGGAGGGCAGTCCGTCCCACGGCGTCCTGCGGCTCGGCAGCGGTGGCGTGGTCAGGAAGAAGGAGCAGCTGCAGAGCGTCACTGCCTTCCAGGGCAAAGGTCACTCTCTGGGCAGCGCCGGAGGCTCCTCCCCTCCAGAGTACCGACCTATCACACGCCAGCACAGCAGCGGAGTGGACCTGAGCTCTAGCGTGTCCCGGGGAGCCCCGGACCTGTTGGACATCCCCGAGGACACCAGCAGGGAGCTGGTCCGCATGGCCCCGGGCTTCGTCACGGTGAAGGACGGGCGGGGTCTGGACCCAGCCCTGATGGAGCAGCAGAGGAGGAAGCTGCAGGAGATGGTCTCCTCTATCCAGGCCTCCATGGAGCGCCACCTGAGGGAGCAGCAGAGCAGCGCTGCTGCAGGGGGCGTGGCCAGCCAGGAACGGACCGCCAAAACCAAGACGAGCTCCAGTCAGCCGGCGCCGGACCAGAACCCTCCAGCTGAAGTCAGAGCGGGGACGGTGGAGGACCAGGAGGACATGGAGAGCCAGGACGCCGAACAGAACGCCGCCGAACCCATGGACCACTCCTGATGGCTCAGAAGCCCCTCCCCTTCCCCGCCTGTGGGTCCCACGTCCCCGGTCCTAAAGCTTTGATCCTCATCACGTCACGTTGTCTTTCATGCATGAGACGGAGCGGACCGTCCTCGCTGCTGCTGCTGGGACACCCGATGGTAAGCGTATCGCCTGAGGGACATCCTGGGGGCGGGGCGTCCTGGGGGGCGGGACCTGACCACGCCCCCTGTAGTAAACACAGACAGTGGCTTCTCAGCTAGTTCATTTTTCTTCTTACAACAAGGATTGGACCTCCAGCCTCTTGTCTCCACCTGCAGGCGTCTAAAGTTCTGCTCCGACGGACCGGACCGGACCGGTTGGGCTCAGGAGCGAGACGTGTTTCCTTACATACAAGAATCCTTTCATCGACCCGTCTGAGTCTTCTGAGCTGGTTTGGACTTTCTGCTGAAATCCAACAAGCAGAACCGCTCCACCTACAGGCAGGAAAAGTTCTGGTTCTCCAGAACCGGTCCAGTTTCAGACGTGTTAAATCTCAAACTGAACTTCTTCTCTGAGCAGACGAGTGTCAGAATAAAATAATCTTTACTTCAACTCTGAGTCGGACCCGTCTTCTGACCAGAACCTGCAGCCGACTGGACCTGAGTCCGACCCGCCTTCTGTCTGCTGGTGGTTTGAGCCCGTCTGATTCAAATGACACCTCAAAGCTAAAGTCTGCTTCAGTTTTTACTGTCGGCTGTTTTATGAGCCGCAGCTCAGCGTGTTTAAATCTGCACCCCCGGTCTCTAACCACCGCACTGTGCTTCCTGTTGGGTTCAGGCGCCGCTGCAGCCGCAGCCTTCAGCACATCTGTACCTCCAACTGGAAATCTTAAACGTTAATATTTACACTTTATTTTAAAAAACATTATGTTTAATTAATGAACAGCTTTTATGTTTCAAAACAACAAAAATGTCCAATTAATAAATAATAATAAATTATAAGTAAATAATAAATAAATAATAATAAATTATGAGTAAATAAATAAATAATAATTAATAAATAAAGCTTTCAGGTCAGAGCTGTCGCCGCCTCACTTTCAAACGAGGCTCCGCCCACAGGTCGAGGGTCGGGATGACTCTCAGCTACCACCCTGGACTCTGGTCTCAGCCTTTATCTCGGGCTGATTAGCTGTGGCGGCCATCTTGAATGGAGTTTGGGTTAACCAGGACTCAAATCCATCAGGTGGTTCATGAGATATTTTGCTAACAGAAACACCCAGAGGGGGTACATGATCGCCCTTCTTCCACTCCAGGAATAAAAACCAGAGCTGAGAGTTTGGATTCAGCTGTAGGGCTTCAATCAGAACCTCCACGAGCTCAAGCTTTAAACTGGTGACACCAGAACTGGACCCGAGTCCAGCTTGGGTTAACACTCGGAGCTGAGCAGAACCAGATCGTCTCGAAAACATGAGATCCAACAGGAAGGATCTGAGTCCAACCAGAATCTGGACTTTGTTGGGTCCAACAGAACCTCCAAAGATGTTCTGGCTCCACTTGCTCTGAACCGAACTTCAGCTTGTTCTAAGTTGAAGTTTTTTCTTTAGCTGCAGATGAGAACCGAACGCTCCTTTAACCTTTTTTAAGCTGAAGCAGCCGAAGAACAGCAGCTAGATGTTCGAGTCGTTTCCAAACAGCCGGTGGTTTTTGTTTCTGAAGCAGACCAACTCCTCGTCCTCCTCACCTTTCTGTTCATGAAGGAACTCCATGAAACGTTTCGTCACGTTGTGAGGCTCCTCGTCCTCTGATCGGGCTCTCGCACCGGACAAACAGGAAGTGACATCACTATTTAGTGTGTGGACCTTGAAGTTGTCAGGACAGACAGGAACAGGTTTGTGGAAGGAGGCAGCAGCTCGGCGTCCTACAGATGCACTGGAGACGGTTTGTCCTCAGGTGGAGTAAGGATCAAACCTGCAGTAGATGTTCAGACCTCCTCAGGTTGGTGTTTGTTCTGCTGCTGCAGAAACATCTGAACGCTCCAGAACCTTCACATGTTAAAATGTTTAGAGTCAACCTGAAGTTAAAATGTTTCATAATCTTGTTCCTGAGTCCAAATAAAAGCTGTGGAGACGTTTTGTTGCAACAAACTCGTTGACGAACGCCAGGCCTTAAAAAGATTGTTCTCAAATCGTTTTCTTTGTTTTGTTGTTTTCGCTGCAGCTGAGCTTTTTTTTTTTTTCATCTTTAAAACGTTATTTTTGTTGTTTGGGGAGTCAGTAAAAAAAGTTAAAGGACATTTTGTGTTTTCTCTCCAGTTTGAAGGAAAATTATAAACTGAGGCACTTTGAATGCTGAGCCCGGTTCAGTGGTTCTGAGAGGAAACGGGTCGCCAGCTGCATTTTAGTTTATCAGGACGTGTACAGAACCCGTCTCTCTGGTTTGTTGATACATTTGGACTCTGCATGTTTGACCTCTTCACAATAAAAGCACTTCCTGCTCTGCTCCTCTCGTCTCTCAATCTGCCTTTATTTTCCTAAAGTCACAGGTTTCACATTTAAAAGGTCCTGATTTAAATAGAACGTGCAGAGAAGAAAGCTCCGGGCCTCCTCCATGTCCCAGAAGTTACCGGTAATCTTTTTATTTATTGATTCCTAAACGAGTCGTTTGATTCCTCTCAGGTAAAGTTTTAGCAAAAATTATTTGAATGGATTTGAATCTGAAAAAGCCAAAATGGATAAAAAAAATAAATAAATAAAACTAACTGAAAATTAGATTTAAAAAAAAAATATGAAAGAAAAAGCTCTAACTAGCAGAAAGAAGCTAATAGGAGCCAAAAACAGCTAAAATGAGCACGGAAGCTGAAAACTGAACAAGATGCTGAAATGAGCAGACGAGGCTTAAACGTTGAACTAAACAGAAAAACGTCTAAATGATCCCGAGCTGTGACCTCAGGTGAGGTGAAGATTCCTGCTCGACAGAAGAATCACAGGAAAATATAAAAAACTCAAACGTCTGGACTTTAATCTGAAGCTGGAAACGGCTTAATTGGGTCTAAAACATCTGGAGCTCACTCCTACATCTGCAGGAGAGGCCAGCTGTGTTCTTAGATCAGCTGCAGGTTAGACTCTAACTACTTGCCCTCACAGTGCAGGGGCGCGTAGTTCCAGAGGTTAAAAGAACATCTGCTGAAACAAAATCACATTCAAGGTTCACTTAGAAAAAAAGCTCAAACTAGCAGGAAAAAAGAAAAAAGCCGAAAATAACAGAAGCTTAAGTGGACATAAAAAGCTGAAATTAGCAGAATGAAGTTAAAAACAGCTGGAAATCAAACCTGAACATTGAGAAGCAAAACTGATGATTCTCATGGTTCAAGAACAGCTGAACCAGCCGAAAACAGCTAAAGAGCTATGAAAAGGCTGAACCAGCCGAAAACAAGCTGTAAAAGGCTGAATGAACCTGAAACAGCTAAATAAAAGCTGTAAAGAGCTGAACATAAATTAAACACAGTCACAAGCATCAGCTGGACAGAGTTAACAATCAGTTGCTATGGAAACGGAGCAGGACAGAACATGTTAACAGCATTTACAGCAAAGAGAAACAGGACCTGCAGGTCACGAGATTCCAGCAGGACAGGAGTCAACTTTAATATAACTGGCAGGATTCTTTTACGTTTTATTGTTGGATGTTACTGGGACCCTGTGGACATAATTTCGCTCCACCACATGTACCACATGAGGTGCGAATGACAATAAAGAATCTCTGACTCTGATACCAGCAGTAACTAGATGGAAATGGTACAAAGTCAAGTATCCTCGGACCCATACGCAGGTATACACTTTGGTTGGCCTTGTTGCTGTTTTAAGTGCTATATAAATAAATTGGTATGGTATGGTATGGTATACAGAGTATACCCACTAGAAAAGCTTAAGAATTTCAGTACACCCACTTAAAAGTGCCCAGTGATGTATGACATGTGTCATTGATTAAAGTTAAATGCTTCAGTAACAATCTGTATGCAGCGCATGTTTATTACATTTGCTTATCCAGCAAATTATTGTTTAATTCTGTACTTACTACTTGAACATGTTTTGCTTTGATACTGTTTGATAAATTTTATAACACGTTTTTAACACAAAGCCAACTGTTGTACAAAGTTTGTTGTTCATTTATTCAAATAAGCATCAGATAAATTTGGAAATGTTCAATACGCTTAAAAATCTAAATAAATTGATGCTTACATTTACTAACTGGTGTACATTGGTTTAAGCACAGTACCCTGAATCAAATGTACGTGTTGAATTGTTAAAGGAATAATCAGGCACTGGCAAGGGCAGCTAACAGCACCCGGATAATGATCGTCAGTTAACATGGACACATGTTGTAGTGTAACACCGGGCAGCTTTTATTTTATGAAACAAAACCGTCTTTAAAAAGGCTGAGACTCCTTTCGTTTTGTAGTTACCGGCACATGAGCCGGCTGGATGTGAAGACGGGCGGCAAACAAACAGTTTTAAGTGAGAAAAAAAGTTTTACAGTTGAGAAGAATAATCATTTTTGAAACACTAACAAAACATATATACGTATTTATGGTTTATTTAGTCAATAATCGTCGTTTCCTAAGAGATTCCGCCTACTCACAGCTCCGTTAGGTGCCCCGGTGCACAAATGGAGCGTATCCACTAAGCGCCACCGGAAGTCAGCAGTTTCCGTTAGCTGTCAGGCTAATGTGCTAACGCTCGGAATTTAATGTCTGTCTCGCATCTGCCCGGTGACCGAGCAGCTGAACGACCATGACTTCGGTCCATTTTCTGAGAGAGTTCATCAGCGAGCGGCTAACGGCCGCCGCTTCGGAAATCTTCGAGGTTTTTGAGAAAACCATCGTCCAGTACGAGGAGGAGGTGGACCGTCAGCGCAGGCTGCTGCTGGACCTCAGCTGGAAGCCTGAAATAAAGCTGCAGGCCGGAGGTGAGGATCTCTGGAGGCTCTGAAGCAACAAACTCTGAATGAGACTCACGGAGGAAGCTTCCGGTTTGTCCTGAACGAGCTAACAAAGACACCCGGACAGGTTAGCATGCTAACTGTGTCCACTGTGGGACAAACTGGACAGGACATAACTCCTTTACACTCACAAGTCTGTGGTTCAACTGCACAGTTAGAAATGTGAAACTAAAACTAGCAGAACAGCAGCTAAAATGGGCAGAACAGCAGCTAAAATGGGCAGAACAGCAGCTAAAATGAACAGAACAGCAGCTAAAATGAGCAGAACAGCAGCTAAAATGAGCAGAACAGCAGTTAAAATGAGCAGAACAGCAGCTATAATGAACAAAACAGCAGCTAAAATGAGCAGAACAGCAGCTAAAATGAACAGAACAGCAGCTAAAATGAGCAGAACAGCAGCTAAAAGCTAAATGCAGCAGACCCGTAGGTTCCAAAGCTAAATGACAGAAGCATTAAAGCCTAAAACGGAAATCTGCTTAAATTCAGTTGAATGAAAACAAAGTATTGAACAGAGATAAGTTAGTAATTTAAGTGAGAAAACATTAATTTTAAATATTTTTGTGTAGGTGATCCATCACATCTGGTTTGGTCAAACTATACGTGACCATTTTTTTAAGATTCCTGGTTTTTTAAGCTACATTTCGATACCTGGATGAACCTAACATCATCCATGTTGGGGATAACTCCTGGAAACAGTGGTCTGAATTATGTTTTTAGGGTACGCTCATGAGGATTTATTGATGTCATTTGAAAGAGGAAACTTTAAACCAGTTGAGGTGTGTTGGGCAGTAAGGATGCTCCCTGGTCGGGCATGTCCCACTGGGAGGAGACCCCGGGGAAGACCCAGGACACGCTGGAGAGACTGTCTCTGTTGGCCTGGGAACACCTTGGAGTCCTGAGAGCTGGAAGAGGCTGTGGAGAGAGATGTCTGGACCTCCCTGCTCAAGATGCTGCCCCTGACACCCAACTTCAGAATAAGAGGAAGATGATGGATGGATAGATATCAGGATTTTCCAGCTGCTACAGAAAAGAGCTTCACTAACGTGCAGGGAAAGTAGAAACATGGAAGTCTTTTCTGCTTAAATCTTTCTTTAGGATTATATTTTGAGCATTTCCTTCAAGGGACACAAAGTTAAGGTATTTATTCTTTATATTTTGACAAAATGCAATATTCACACGTTTCTAACCAATGCTGCTGCCTCAATCTGAACATATCCGCCTTTGATTTAATCCGGCTTTGATGTGACTGGTCAGTGACTTGGGTCAGCCTTTGTGTATTGTGAGTCAATAATCCTCGAGTGTCAACAGCTGGAGGGCAGTGACGGAATGAAAAGTGAAAATCTGAATCTGTCTTTCTTCGCTCTTCTTCTGGGAAGAAACGACTAAAAGCTGCGAGGACGACAGAAGTCGAGAGTTAAACTTGTGTCAACGAGTCGTTTCTAAATGTTCTGAACGGCTCGTCACAAAGTTTAGTTGTAAACAAAGATGAGGAATATTTTAAACCCAGATGAGTTTGAGTTACTGTATCCTCCAGACACGGCTCTGGTTTGATGTGCAGGAAGACCCTTAGAGATAAAGGCCCGTTCCATAAATGTACTTTAAAATTGAGCCTAAATTAGATGTTTGTTTTTATTTACTCCTTTTTTCTGAGGAAGCAGCATCTGCAGCGGTGAGATGAACACAAGTCAGAGGTTTGATGGTGTTTGGGTCCAACGGACCGCAGCCTTTGAACGCTTAAAATAAAAAAAATTGTGTCTTATGTGACACTTTAAGGATCCTGTGACGTGCACGTATTAAATGCAACATTTAGCTGAAGGCGCTCCAGCTCTGAGCAACGTGTTCGTTCAGTTCGGCTCTTCTTTCACTTCTGTATTTTCAACATCAGTCTCGAAAAAGAACTGCAGTTTGTTCAGATTCTGCCACGTAGAGCGCTTTAGATCTTCCTGCAAGCTTCATAAAGAGCCTGTTCTGTACTTTTACTGGAGCAGCAGGGAAGTGGGTGAACGCAGAAGTGCTGAATGTCAGCATTTATTGGCTGCTTGAGCTGCTGAAGCAGCAGCTAAAGCAGCTGACAGACGACTTTATATTCCTGTCTGACTCAATCCTCCTGCTTTCTGTTTGGTCATCATGAAAGTCCTGTCAGCTAAATAAGTCAGATTCTTTAAGAACATTGACGCTCAGCATTAAATCACAACTAAATGTTGTTTTTGAACAGCAGAATCAGAAACTCATGAGTTTAAATGTTTGTCAGGAGGTTTCTTTCTTTTTAAAGTTTCGTCTGTTTTCCTTTCAGAGCCGCTTCAGAAACATGTCTGTCAGAAACAGAAAGAAGCTCCTGCCGAGCCGCAGCTCCTCAGCCAGGAGAGGAGCTTCAGTCTGGACCTGGAGGAGCCAGAACCTCTGCAGATGAAAGAGGAACAGGAAGAGCCAGAACCTTCGCAGATCAAAGAGGAACAGGAGCAACTCTCCAGCGTTCAGGAGACGGAGCAGCAGGCGGTGAAGGAGGAGGTCGACGCCCTGGTGGTGATGCTCAGCGATGAGGAAATGGATCTGAGCAGCGCAGAACCCACCGGAGATCAGCTCCGAGATCAGGTGGAAAGACCAGACCTGGGTTTCAGGTTGATGAGCAAAATGGAGCGGACGGGGAAGAGGAGCCGTCATAAAGTGAGGAGTAAAAAAACCATTGAGGAGCTGTCTCCTCTGTCGGAGAGCGAGAGCGACACGGAGCCGGGAAAAATCTCAGCGAAGTGCGGCATTTGTGACAAAGTCTTTAAGAACAAGTACTACCTGAAGATGCACTACAGGATCCACACCGGCGTGAAGCAGTTTGTTTGCAACGACTGCGGGAAAAGTTTCACCGACGCGTCCACGCTGAAATACCACACAAGGACACACACGGGTGAGAAACCGTTCTCCTGCGATACGTGCGGGAAAAGCTTCAGATGTAGTTACAGCGTGCTGGTCCACATGAGAACTCACACAGGAGAGAAACCGTACCTGTGCAACATCTGCGGAAAACGATTCACCAACCTGTCGGCCTTCAAATGGCACATGGCCATTCACACGGGAGAGAGGCGCTACTCCTGCAACATCTGCGGGAAGAGTTTCACTCAGAATGGCAACCTGACCGCTCACATGGGGACTCACACCGGGGAGAAGCGCCACGTCTGCAAAATCTGCAACAAGAGCTTCAGCCGGAGCAGCAACCTGCTGGTCCACATGAGGAACCACACAGGAGAGAAACCGTACCCCTGCAAGACGTGCGGAGAAAGGTTCAAGTATGCAGCCATGCTTAAAAAACACCTCAAAACTCATGAAGGAGGCGAGCCGTCCCCCTGCCAAACGTGTGGCAGAGGTCCGACGGGTCCGGAGGGCTCGATGGTCCAACATGAAGGTGGTGAGTGTCATCCTGAAACATCTGCAGGAACAAACATCTGTGTGGAAAAGGATGAAGAAAACGTGTTTGCTGTTTTTCAGTGAAGATATGAAAGGAGTGTGACGCTGCATGTCAGACTGCATGAGGGAACCGAACAGTTCACCAAACAACAAAAACTCCTCCGTGGATCTGGAGAAACAGCCAAACCTTTAGTTATTTTTCAGCTTTTATTTCTCCGAGCCGACAGACGGTTTAATCTGGGTTCTGTTTGTACAGTCCAGTGGAGACACGGAGTCCTCTGGAAGGGCTTCAGACCTTCTGAGAAGCTGCTCCACGGTACGGACACCTAAACACTCTCCTCCCCCACATTTAAGCTCTTACATGTACGCCGTCAACATCTAAAGCATCAAACCTGACTTTATGAACGGGCTGCGACGAGACGCTTTAGATTTTACAGTATTATTTAGACAAACATATGTGGGAGTGGTGGCGCAGAGGTTGGAGAAGGCGAGCCTGCGATCGTAAGGTCGCATGCTCGACTCCCCGGAAAGGTGAAACACCCACACCTGCCTCCACTCTGAGCCCTTGAGCAATACCCTTAACCCCCACCTTCTGCTCCCCTGGGTGCCCCACATGGCAGCTCTCTGCTCCACACAGAGGCTGTGGTCGCTCGGTGTCTGTGGTGGAGTCAGGAAGAACATCCGGCGTAAAATCACTCCCCAAGTCTTCGTTTGAGTTGGTTCTCTGTGGCGACCCCTGAAGAAGGAGCAGCCGAAAGAAGAAGAATAAACTCAAATTCAGACGAACTCGACCCCCGGCCCTCTCCTCGCCCGTGAGTTCTTTTAGAAGGTGCCAAAATAAAAACGGCTGAAGGACCAAGCTGAGCTCTTGGTACATATATATATTATTTTCCTGTTTGGATTTTTCAAAATACAGACTCAGAAAATGGAATTAAGATTCCTCGATATTTATTTATAATGTTGTCCGATCAGTTTACTGATATTTGGTTTTAAATTAAGACGTTTGTTCTTTTCTTATGTCTTTCTTTTTTTAGTCACTTTTGTAGAAAACAACAAAAAAAATTCATATGTTATTTATCTAGATCGCCATTATTTTACCGGAGCGATGCATTCTGGGGCGATGACGTAATCGATTGTAGTGGAGACTCAAACACAAGAAGCCACGGCTCTATAAATATAAATATAAATATAATTATAAATATAAATATAAATAAACAAGGTCTGGAGCTAACGTGAAAGTTATCGCTCCGTCAACGCTCCGGTTCTAACTTGAGGCTGAACGTCAGAAAATGTCCCAAAGTAACGTTCAAGCTGAATGGAGCTCGTTACCCGTCTACATCATTTACCCAGAATGCATTGCAGCATGAATGGTGGTTTTTCGTGTGTCAGTCTTTGTTTTAACTTATAAAAACTAAACGGTCTGTGCGTATTTTTCAGTCTTGGTTTTATAGCTGAAGTGATGGATGATCTAATAAGATCTCATTCCAACAGTTTTTAAATTATTTTTTATTCAACCTTTATTTCTACAGGTTAGTCTCGTTAAGTCATGAGAAGGGATGCACGATATTGGATTTTTGTCCGATACAGATGTTTTTATACTTTGTCAGAACATAGCCCTCTTCTCCTTGTCACTGGGTTGTCATACAAAAACGGCGCCTTTTATATCGGTGAGTTATTTTGGTGGACTGGCCGATGTCTGATATTGAACTTTTGACGCTAATATCGACCGATACCGTGCCGATAATATCGTGCATCCCTAGTCGTGAGGACTCATTTTACAAGAGAGACCTGTTTAAACGGACAACGTGTAGAGCGCAGACAATAACAACATCAGTAATTAAAATCAAAATAGTGACATGAAACTACTGTTACTGTTGGCATGTGCTCCAACTCGTAGATCCTTCCAAAGTAAAATAAATAAACCTGGATAAGAGTTCAGGCAGACTGCAGCTCTGAAAACTATTCAGGTCTCTTGTAAACGAGTCCCTGAGGCTCAGTGGGACGAACCTGCAGAAATAAAGGTGGAAAAAACTACGAGTTAAACACTCAGGACATTAGAGTGAAACTCCATTCTGTCTACGCTTCATTTGGTTGTGATTTAAAATGGGGGGGGGGGGTTGTAGGCGGGGCTCTGTGTTCTGTTGACAGGATGGGGCACCCCCCTCCCCCCCCACAAATAATGGTTAGTACAACGCTGAGTTTATTAACTTTTTTCTGGTTCCTCTTAAAATTCCCTCGTTTCATCCTGAACAAGATTTCACTCTTTTATTTTGTCGTCATAAAACTAAAGCAGAAGAACTGTTATTAATTAATAACTTATTAGTTTTATAAAAAGTAATTTTAAATGAAACCTGAACATTTTCTGTTCTAACAGGCGTTAGAGTTATATTTGTGAAACGAATCGAGTGCACAGTGGAACGGCCGTGCACGCACATTTTGATAAATGCAGGAAACCATACAGTCTCCTGCATTAGCACCTGTATGGCAGGCCATTTTACCATATAATGGAAGCACACTCCTCCCTCTAATGACTAATTAAATGTCACTGATGGATCTCCAGCTCACAGAACCAATTCCAGTGGGTGGTTTTGAAATAAATAGAACATTAAACTCATTATTAGGCTGATAAAATGTAAAAAAAATTACAAATACAATTCTATAAAAAATGAGTAAATTTAAAATTGCTGCAAATCTTTCAAAGCTTTCTTTTTTTAATAGACGATGTTTAGCAGACGTTCTTGTCTAAAGTCTGTTCAGCCGTGTTTCTTCAGCTTCTCATATTTTATTATTTTTATATATGATTCACGTTTGTCGTCTCACGTCGTCGTTTTAACTCGAGCGTCTGTTTGAACGAAGTCTTGGCTGAGCTGAAGGTGTTTTTGAGTTCTGGTTGATCCTCTGGACTCGTTGCTTCAGACGGTTCAAATCGACAAGACGGTTGTTCTGATCCAAAACAACAGAACCAGTTTGATCGAGTTTAATGATAAACTCCTCTGGAATGATGTCATCGTTGGACTTTATTGTAATAATTTAATTCAGGCTTTGTCAAATAAATGAAAACGGAAACTTTTCTGTGTTTCAGTGACGTCTTTATGTAAAAACATCTTTTATGTTTCAAATCATCTGAACTCTTTATTTCCTGCTGCAGCTTTTTCATTTAAGACTCAACACGGGGCTTTAAAATGGGTTCGTCAACTGGCGGCCCGCGGGCCACTTTCGCTCCACGGGTGACTTCAGTCCGGCCCACAATGAGTTCACTGAAAACAAAAATGTGTGTGTTTGGGGGGCGGGGGGTGTCTGGGTTTGGGTTTTGTTTATTTCATTTAAGATTCAAAGCAACAAAATAAATGTTAAAGGCCGATTGTAAAACTTGGTTTATTTACAGAATGGACGTCCGGCCCCTGAGCTGCTGACTCAGAACCTGTGGCCCCTGAGCAGTTTAGTTCAATAACCCTACTTTTAAACATCGTGGTGCATTCAAGGTCCACACGGTACATTTTGTTTAGTGCAGTGTTCAAGGCTACAGGTGAAGCCAGGTGTTTCCATCCTCTGTATTTAAAGACGGAACAGGTAAATATGAAACTCATTTTTGAAGCTTTTATCAAAAGTAATATATTTTGAATCCTAACTGGCCTAAAATGAAAACATTTAGTGGATTTTTATTGTCACATAGAAAATAGTTATGGGTTTTTATTGTGTATGTAAACATCTGGTTCCAGATGTGGATAGGCTTTTATTTTGAAAGAAATGGGAACCATCTGATAATCATGTCTAGATTGTAAATATTTTAGTTTTATGGGGACATTTCATCTTATTCTTAAAACTCAAATATTAAACTTGCTTTATTGCATTTTGTCAGTGGGTGGAGCCTGTTTCAGGCGTTATCAGGTAATTGCTGGTCCATCACAGACAACTGCTCTGCAGGGATTTTATTTCAGCTGTTCCTGAAGCGTGTTTGATGAAAAGTGATCAAAGCATTTCTGCCTGCAGAGGACCATCACACGAACCAGGCCGAGCTTGGTTCTGGTTCCTGGGCTTCCTGGGTCAGCTGTAACCCGAGTAGCTTTAGGACCGGGCCGGAGCAGCTCAGCAGCAGTAAATATAGCAGCAGAGCTGTTTGGGTCAGAACAGCTGGGTGTCACCAGGAGGTCTGGACACATCGGATCAGTCTGAGCCTTCAGTTCTACTCCAGCAGAACCAGACCAGGACACTGAGCAGAACCAGACCGGGACACTGAGCAGAACCAGACCGGGACTCAGAGGAAACCTCAGCAGGGTGAATGAAGGTAAGAGTCACGTGTGTCTGCGAGGCATTCACTGTCTGTGAGACGTTCAGTGTGTGTGAGGCATTCACTGTCTGTGAGACGTTCAGTGTGTGTGAGGCATTCACTGTCTGTGAGGTG